CCCCCCCCACTCCAGTCTCCACACACCCGGAGGAGACCTGCAGCCAGGCACTCGCCCCCCGGCGCCCGCCTTGAGAAGATGGCGGCTCCCGCCCTCCTTCCCGACCCCCGCCAGGGAGGGAGGAGTGGGCTGAGGTGGGGGGGAACAGCGCGGCTCTAACGGCAGGCACCGGCTGGGTGATCCCAGGGATAGGCAGGACAAATCCAGCCGTGTAATTAAGGCCGTGTTTAACAACAACAAAAACCCAAGGGCAGGGGAAGGTGAGGCGCAATGCCTACCTGATGCAAGGAGGGGCGGGTGGAAGCCCACAGGACAGGTCTCCGCACTGTCCTCTGTGGCTGCCCGGAGATGGCAGGAACAGTCACTTCCCTCACAGTTCATAATCTATATTTCGACAGTTTAATCTGTTTGACGAGTTCACTGCCTAGTTTCGAGGGAGCTAAAGTTGAGAAATGCTGTAGTTCCTGAGAGGTCTGTGTGAAAATACTTTTGGGCTAAGTAACGTTTATATCTAGATTCTTAGCTTTTTCTGTGCTCGGAAGAGGAAGCATTGTTATCAGAGGAGGAGACGCTTTGTTCTTTAATATAAAGCCACAAGGATTAATTGAGGCAGAACAGGCAAAACTCAGCCCCAGCAGTGGCATTCATGACTGATGCGGCAGAAGGGAGATTGGCAAGGTGTCACCGAGTGGGCATGGTGGTTGTTTGCGTTGGGAATCCGGGGATGGGATCCACGCTGGTGGTTTCTCTTGGCCTCAAAGCCTTTAGGACTTCCAGCCTGTTAGTGCAGAAAGCTTTGGAAGTCTGTATTTTGGCCCAGAAACTCTCCTGTGGCTCTTTCACTCCCCTCTGGTGATACAGTTATTAGCTTTCTATAAGTGATTCTTTATTACTGTGATTTAAAACTCTCCAGGGAATTCAGATGAGTAAGCAGGTTCTCTTTTGCTGCAGTTTGTAAAATGTCCAAATAAATAACTGCAGGCCTACCGAGATGTTACTGCCCTTTGTAATCCTTGCTAGTGTTATGAGAAGTTCTCCTTTAACATAAATGATTAAGCTTGTCAACCATATTTATTTTACTGGTTGTAGCAAAGCAGATGAATGAACAGTGACTATATGCATGTTCTTTCCTTTTTTAACTCTTACTAGTTTCTCCATTCTAATTGTTCCTAATTTTCTCTCATAAAAATTGCCACCGTTATTTTGCTTTTAACTTCTGTCTCCGTATAACTTTGTATTATTAACCTCTCTCCTTGTTAAGACTTCTGCATGTTTCAGTTAATGGGGCATGTACAGGTATAAATTGTTCTGATGCTAATGCATTAAACTTCCTGTCTGTATTTGTATGTCACATAATAAATGAGTATATTTGTGACTAGGTTGAGTATAAATATTCATTCTTGCTAAAAATATGTGTGATCTTGCATCTCCTTTTTTGTATCAGCTGATGGTGATACCTTTAGAGCAATACTTATCACACTATTATCCAAACTTAGTAAACACTAGCATTCTAAAACTGTCTATCCTACCTTCCAATGTGGTTTATTTATTTAGAAATTTTGAAGGGGATAAAAAACTTGGGGTCTGAAGGCAAATAATACTAGATTTTAACTTTTTACAACAGCTCTTCTATCAGGTATAGTCCGAATCTGCAGCATATCAATGCAGTCTCTAGTGGTTGCATTTTCAGTTTGATTTTGGAATATATACAACTAAGACAGTATCATCATGCAATGAATCTTTAAATTCTATAGACCATATTTACACAGCAGGTTAGGTGAGATGATTGCAGTGATATCTTCTGATCTTTAACTTAATAGATCAAAAAATTTGCCATCCTAATGAAACTGTGAGGCCTTTTTGCTTGACAGACTGAGCATTTGACTCAGCTCTCCTTTTTCTGAACCTAAAGATTTGTGCTTGGGTGAACCTTCTAGAAGATGTCCAGTCTTGATATCAAAACTCAACAGCTTGGAGAATCCGCTGCTTCTGTTAGTGTTTTATGACAGTGACTCGTCATGATTACTGTGTCTTCCAGCTATTGCTTGTTATTACAATTTTTTTCAGTAGGTTAAGGAGCTATTCAGTACTCAGACTTTTCTGCCTGTGAGCGTTCTTGTACACTGTAGTGAAATAATTTCTCAGTTTTGTTTCTTGATAAACCAAGCTGATCAACTCCTCTCTTTAAAAGAGGGCTGAGCTAATTTGAATTGCTTTGCATTCGCCACAAACCAAGATTGAGTACACAGATGGTGACTGTGGGTCAGCTGACATGTGGCAACTCGTTACTCTGCAGTAACACTTACTAGTGTGTGCGAGTCCTGCATCTCACTGAAAGGATGTTTTCTCAGCCCTTCCATCATTTTTATAGTGCTAACACCTCAGTAAATTATTATCCTGGTTCTCTATCCCTCACTGTTACATTAAAGAGTATCATTAGACTTTCTGGTCCCCATATCATATTGGCTCATCTACATGTCCACTCTGGCCTCTAGGTGTTTATGAGCGACACTTAATTTCAGCATCCAGCCCCATTCTTTGAATCTGTGAATAAGTGTTGCAGTGGAATGGCTCAATAATGAGACAGCTCTGAACGAGGCTTGCTTATGCAGGGTCTGGTACTACAGTTTTGTCTCTAGGTTTTTCCTGCTTGCTTGCTCACCATTGCTCCTTCTACTCTGGCTTTGGACACTTCTTTCTTTTCTTTCTTTCTTTCTTTCTTTACTAGACAAAATGTCACTGTCTTCTTTGACACAGTCATGCAGTTAGAGTTCTTCTACTAAAGAGAAATAAATAACAAAAACACTTTCCAACGATCCAAGCTCTGCACATTCCTGAAAAGCTTCTAGTCTTGTGGATATGCTTAGACTACAACTCTGTAAGGCGGTGTGAAATATCAGGGTTTAGGTCTCTTTCCCTTGCAGAAGATAAGAAAATCAGAATACTTGCTTTGTACAAACATTTCCTCCTACCCTCACTTCAAACCAGCATTAATGGTTTTATCAGTCAGTGTTCTTAAAACGACAGACCTTCAAAATCATAAAGTAGATTTAAAAATAACTAATTTTCTTCTCCCTTTGGTTTTTGAGCCTTTAGAAGTCTTATCTTTATGTCAAAATATTTATTTGCATCACTGCCAGTAAGAACCCAAACCAAGGACCAGGTGCTATACAAACACAGAACAATAAGGCAGCCTCTGGAGATCTAAGCATCTAAAATTAGCTAATGGAAAGGCAATTGAGTGAATATAAGGAAATACTGGAACATTATTGGTCTGTATGACAGTCTGTGATCTTTGCACGCTATTGCATGAATGTTCTCAAGACTTTTTAAGTAGGGTTTTCAAGAAGGATTATGAGATAGGCTGGGATGTTTAAGGGGGAGTTACTACAAGAATGAGGGTCAGGGTGAGAAAAAGTGCACAAGACCTTGTGTCTTTGAAATGTAACAGTTCGGAGTTGGATGTTAACATGGATCAAACAGAGGCAAAAGTTAATGTCTGTTTAATGAAAGGACATGCTAAAAGAGTTGTGAGAATAGCAGGGAGGGAACATGATGAGCTGGTTAGCATATGCGATGATCCTTCAAGCAGCTGCCTGGGATAGGACTCAAAATGTGTAAGGGATTTTTTTTTTTCCACAGCAGTCGTGTCATTGCCCTTCACTGACTAGCTCAATAACAGATTGTTTCACAGTATTTGCTCTGTCTATTTTTCTTTGATGTCAGTGTTTTTTCACAGAATTTCTTTCTTTGATAGCTTCAGATATTTTTTCTTGGCGTTCTTTGTATGTACTCAGTATTTACAAGGATTCTGAGGTGTATTGTTAATTCTGTTAAAGGTGGTTTGAGGCAACACAATAAGGTAGTTCATAGGAAATCTCATTATCCTCATTGCTTATCTTTGAACTTAAAAAATAAGCATGCAAATAAATGTTGTCTGTCAGCTGCTAATTACTGGGTGACAATTTTCAGGCAGGTAGATGTTAAACTCAGAAATTTGTGTAGTACACATGAGTCACAGCAGATAAGTAAAACACTGTGATAAGCCTTGTTACTGGATCCTGTCATTTTATACCAAGTCTTAACATTTTTTTCTTGAGGTATCAATCCCTGGTGTTCAGTTAAACACTTTCAAAACAGATTCCACTTTTGAAAATTAGTTCCAACAGTTTTGGAGAAAGGCTTCTTGTGATTTCTAAAGGTACAAATCCCCAAAAGAGCAGCTATTTGGTTATTTTTAAGTTTCTGCTATGATTTTAGAGGTCTAACTCATGTTTTCATGATACCAATTACAGCATGTAGCAGCTTTAGAATAGCAAATGTGTCTGCTCTTTAATGAATGAACTCGTGGCATTACTCTGTTGAAAATAATTACTACTTGAAAATATACTTGCTCTCATAGGTATGTTTCTAGAGATTTATTTCTACAAATGAGTGCAAATTCTGCAAATTTAAAAAGATATTTCAGGAAAGTATATTTTTCTCAGGTCTTTTTGCATTTGGAAGTGCCTACTTGGGAACCTCTGTTTCAAGCACATGGGATTATACTGTACTCTTTTGTACTCTTACTATGTAATTGTGT